CTAGAAGTTATAGACATGGGAGCGAAGACAAAACCTCGATTCTCAAATTTTTATGTCGCACTCAATGGCTTCTACCATCCCAATTGTAATTTGTAAGTGTTGTAACCTGCATAGGTAAAAAGTAAAACACCGGCTATACTACAAGAAGCTTATTAATGATCTGACGATATTTAAGAACTAAGCAAAAAGATGATTTGGCTTGACTTTCAAAAGTTTCAATCAAAAAGAAAAAATAAATTTATTAAGAATTCAAGATATTAACTAGAAAACACTATTTACATGTATATTTAAAAGTTCGATCTCAGCATATGAATTCTGCTTAAGTCATAATCTGATGTGGATCTAAAATGATGATCCTACAATTCCTTTTAAAGTAAAGTTATATATTTATGTACATTAAAGAAATGAATACCTTTATTACGAAAATGATAAACTTACATGATTAAGTTATTAAATTCAAATTTGGTTTTAATTCACCAAAAACAGGTTGTAGCTAATTGCTCGGTAGCTGAGAGCCTCTGTGCAGTTTTCAACGAAACAAAATTTGATATAACTAAAATTTCAAATGGTAAAGAAGAGACTATCGTCCAAAATTATAGTGCCATACTGTGCCTGCTACAATAAATTCATAATAATGCTTATAAATGGAAATAAATTCTTTTAATAATTTAAGAAAATTAGTGGGATCAGTGGAATCACTGCAATGAATATGCCTGAGTTCATATATTTGTTCTTAGGAACAGAATAGGTTAGTCGAGCCGGAGTCTGGACAATTTACTGACCTGACTCCACAAGCCGAAATTCTCCGACTTCGACCTGACTCCGACTCCACAGCCCTGATATCTATTTGGCAACACATCCCTGGGGGTTGAAGTTATATCTAAGATGCTTAAATCAGCGGAGTACTACATGACGCAATTGGTTTTGGTATATATGGTATCGCCAATTCGTCCTCTTTCATTACATTATGTAGGCAATAGGTGATATAATGCAGATATCATGGTGATTATCAGGCACAAAAGAACGAACGAAGGTGCAACTCACAATCAGGAATACCAACCGAACTGAGACTTCAGTATACTGTACGTACATGTATGTGTTCATTTAAATATTTCAGGCCTAGGGGCCGTTTTTGGGAGAGTGTATAGTAATGGAGTTAGCTTATTCATAATCACATTAAATAGAAACCGCTGTATAGATTCTTTTCATAGTTACTGCTATATACTAATGTGTGATATATATTTTTATATTTAAGAGTGCATTTATTAATGTTAATAACCACAACGAACAGGTTACGCTTGTTTGTTTTATTTTTTCAGTAGTTTTCTGATGTATAATGCACTTACAGTGGTTTATTGGTGATAGTTAATATTTGATGTAAACAACATATTAATCATACCAATGTGTTTGATGCAGTGGTTCATTATCCAAGATGGTACGACCATCCGATGATTGGTAATGGGGGGGGTTGTGGGGTGATATTGGACAAGAGTGCACGTCAAGAGTTTTGGGTGTGGTTTGTTTGGTTAATTATTAATGCAAGAACTGAAACCCTGTGGTAATATGTGAAGTAGACAATGAGGCCCTACTCCACCACAGTTATTGGGTCTACCACTGCTACTATATCAAAAATCTGGAAAAATTAGTTATGCCGTATCTGATATTTATAAGGGAGTAGTGTATAAGGGATTCAATGGCATACCTGTATAAGTGTACAAAGGTATTATAATAGATTTGAACCGTAAGTTAATTGTTACTGGACAATGATGGTGTTGAATACCGCTGTAGTATTATATTGTGCGTTATATCTCGAAGATTTATTTTATACTGTATCATAAAATGATGGCCAAAATTATCCCAATTAAATTGTGCAGTACTTATATATATGCTTTCTTTTTGACAATATTCAGTCAGGTGAGGGAAGTCTGGGTAAATCCTACGGAAAATATAAATAAAATACTGTATTTACTGTATGACCTTGGCTTCTGATGACGAATATTCTGGGCTGCTGAAGGGCTTTGATTAGGTCATCATAACTTTTGATTTCATGATTGGTGCTCATTCTTTTTAATGTCTTTTAAATGTACCAAGCATAAAGTAAACTTATGTAGATGCAATATTGTTTGATAGATGGTACAGCACTTGAATACGTGTCATGTAATGAATGACTGTTGTTTGAAACCTGGTGATTCATGTTATGCTTCCCTAGGAAGAAACGAGTTTTCCTGGCTTAGGTGCCGGGCTATTTTTTCTCGACTATTGAACTAACTCCATGAAGTAAATTTGAATGTGAGAGCACAATTGTTTTGAGAGTCAACTTGATATGTTTGATTACAGTTAAAGCATTCAAGATCTCTTTGTGAGTGATGTTGAAACTTCAACTGTCTTTATTGTTAGTAACACTTGTGTCAAGTAGGTAGGTCGAGTCTGCCAGTATGAATGGCATCTCAAGATGTCTTCCATGAGGATGGCTATGAGTTTCCAATTGCTACTGAAGTTAGATTATTTTGATTCCCAAACCTCAGAGAATCTGATATTTGCAGTTTTATTATTGTCAGTTGTCTATTTAAGAAAGCCACTCCTGGAAAAGAATGTCAAACTTCTTATCTCCAAGATCTCAACGTATACTCATAGAGGCCTTGTCTAGAAATCCTTCTGAGTTTGTGAAACCAAGGTTAACAGCGTGTATTTGATGCCTATTTCACTTTTTCCTGGCAAGCTCAATCGCTGATTAATTTATAAAAATAGACATCGAATTTCTGTTGTTTGTGAGATTAGCCCTTCTGGCATGTCATTGTTGTAGGACATGTGTGTGTCTCCCCAGGAGGCTCAGGTTGTAGGGTGTGTGTCTCCCCAGGAGGTCAGGGGTTGTAGGGGTGTGTGTGTGTCACCCAGGAGGTCAGGACTGTAGGGTATGTGTGTTCCCCAGGAGGGGTCAGGATTGTAGGGCATGTGTGCGTCTCTCTGGAGGTCAGGGGCTGTAGGGTATGTGTGTGTCTCTCCAGGAGGTCAGGCTGTAGGGTATGTGTGTGTCCCTTCGAGGTCAGGGGCTGCAGGGCATGTGTGTGTCCCCAGGAGGTCAGGGGCTGTGGTGTCGTCCCAGGAGGTCAGGGGCTGGGTATGTGTGTGTGTCTCCCAGGAGGTCAGGGGCCAGGGTATGTGTGCGTCTCTGGAGGTCAGGATTGTAGGGTGTCTCGGGAGGTCAGGATTAGGGTAATGTGTTCCCAGGAGGAAGACCCTATGATGTGTAGGAACATAAACTTTCTGTGTAGGTTAGAAGGTTGTTAAAGGAAGAGGTTTTAGCAGGAAGAAAATATGAGAAATTTTTATTAAAGAAAGTTGAATTAAAGAAAAAGAATACTCAAATATCAATGTAATTTGTTGAATCATCAACTACATTTGCCTCTTTCCACTTAATTTGCAGGGGGGTCAGAAGTTTGTTCTGAAGTACTTACTCGGAACATTATATCTGTTCTAGAGGATTCGGACATTTATGTATCTGGGATATGGAGCTTCTTGAGGAGGTAATTGATCTTGTGAGCAGTATGTTGTGTCTTGAAGTCAGCATTAGGCTGCTTTGGGTTCTCTTTCATTTATGGGTTTGAATTCTCATCCAGGAGTCCCCAACCTAGGGCAATGAGAGCCGGTCCTGAAACTTGGTTATTTTTTTTTATCCTTTAGCTGGGGGTCAGGGGAGGCTTCTTCCAAGATGTAAATGGCATTTGACCAGATGCTTGTTTGTTCAGTGGTTCCAGGAGTCGAATCCTCTTGGGAGAGTACCTGGCCTTTGGACCTGGCATCATCCAGGTTCAGGGACTCCTCACTGTTTTTTTTTTCTTATTGCCCTCCTTTATCAACTGGAATGGACATTGTGAAGTCCAGGATAAACAATGGATGAAATAGATCGTTGATTTGTATGTGCTTTCTTGTATTTTTAATGATTTACAGAACATAATGATATTGTATTATTTTTTCTTGGTCATCTATATAGTTACTATTAAATGTAATTGATTAGATGTCAGTAGAAGAAAACTTTAAACATTAAATATGTAACCATAGTAAGAACAATGGTAATATATGTAACTAGTCTGAACAATGGTAAATAATTTAAATTGTTGGTAATTCCAAGTTAATGTGATAACTTACTGTATAGTACATCAGGATTTATTAACGCCATAGTTGATCTTACTTGTGTTATTATAGAAAGCTTTGTTTTTTTTCAGAAAAGAAAACTTTTTTTTCATTTTATAAGAAGTACATAATTTGCTTTTTGGGAGAGTTGTTAACATTTGTTCAGTATGTATGATTAAAATTTCCAAATAAATTTATTTTGGTTGTATTACCTTTTGATTAATTGACCATATTCTATGGAAAAATTTCATTTTCAATGATGGATGCCTAAAAGAAGATGGAAATTTTTTAACATTTTCTATGTTGCAATCAAAGAAAGTAGATTATCGACTTTTTGGGAAGTAGATTATCGACTTTTTGGAAAATGTTACCCAATTTTCCGGAAGCAGATTATCACAGAAAGCAGTAAATTTGTATTACAGAAGATGGAAATATATACTTTGTGTAAGTTGGTTATTCACTTATCATAGAAAAGTAGATTATCTACTTGGGAAAGTAGATTATCGACTTTTGGCATTGTGCAATATGAGTCCCAGCCGAGGGCCAACTACCCATATCATGG